CACACACACACACACACACACACACACACACACACAAACACACACTCTCTCTCTTCCGCTCGTTCTTTGTTTGAGTCTAACGTTCTGTCACAATATTGGATGGAATCCATCACCGTCCGCACTGTTGTTAGAAACACTGTCCTTGAAATACGTCTCGCTAAAACAAATAAGCGAGGCCTTTCTATACCCGTGCATAAACCTAACGTTTGCACTGACTTCATCCATTTTATCATTCAATGACCTTACGTTACCAGTAACAATGAGTAGGTTAAAACTGTTGTTTCCGTTTCTGTTGTCCCACAAAATCTTCCCTGTGATCTTCACAATATATTAAAAATCCTCTTTAAACGATCTGCTGTCATTGTTACAGAACCATCGTCTTCAACCATGAACCTGATCGGACCAGTAATCTGCACTGACTCGATTCAACCCACGCTGTAGCATTCTCTGTGCACACGATTCGGTAAACGATTTTTTCTGGTCTTTCTGAACTCCAGTAAATGTCTCCGTTCAGATAAAAGTGGGCTAAATCACTAAACCACTCTTTCCATGAATGTATTATAATTATCACGGCACCTCAAAAATGATCGACACTTTTGAGTATCAAAATATAACATGCCTTCAAATCGAGATCATGTCTCAAAATTCTGTTAACAGAATTTTTTTTAAGGTGGAGCTCAACACTCGGACGACGAACTGACACGACGAAATGACTGCTTTGAGGTGGCCCCATCAGAGCGTCGTACGGCGTCAGTGTATTCGTCCTTGCAAATTAACGGCTGTATCGTTCACCCCGCCTTTTGTCGGACACAGACACGCGTGGCATGCCCTTTAAAGCACATACCGTCCAAGGATAATTTTGTTTGAGGGAAAATTGCATTCCATCCTGTCGTTGACATTTAACGATGAAAATTTTGTAAATTTCTGTGAGACGCAATTCGCATGTTTCAACTCACTTAGTTTCAAATGTGACTTCGAGTGCGCAAATAAATAACTGTCGAGAAATTGTGTCTGAATTGCACCAGAGTTTGGACAACAGACACACACACTCACACACACACACACACACACACACACACACACTCACGCACACACACACATGTAATGTAATATGTATCGTATATTATATATACAAAATGTACATACAGGTGTCTTATGTAACGATTGGGCGCTTTGATTCCCGAGTTGAGATAATTTTATCGAGTATCTCGGTCTTTCTGCTGGAATGTTGTATTCCTATCAGCCCGGGTTTCCCCTGACGTGCACGGTCGGAAGCGTGCTTCCTAAATGATCTAAGTTGTGTCCATAGGGGCGTAAAACCCCTACATTTAGACATAACGATTTTCAACGTTACATACGCATGCATATATTATACGTGGGATGCTTAGACAAGACTACTTTAGTTTATTGATGGTGAAAAATGTACAGGGAACAAACTGTTACGTTAGGTCCGAGGTCATTCAAATGTGTGTTTGATGTGTATGAGCTAGTTTGTTGAGTTGCATGAGAAAAAATCCGAGGATTACTTATCTTTTCTGAGAGTCCGATGTTGATGGACCTGTGTTATCGATGTCAGCTTTGTATTTCTTTTGAAAAGCGTGCTTTTTCTCTCTGGCATTTTCATTTGAATAAGTCTGCCAACGGTCCGATGACTATGTTTATGAATGAGTATACAATGAACGTAACAACGACACTTTTCAACACTGCAAGCATATTATGGTACCTCATAGTACTCAAAAACTTAATCAAAGATAACAGAATTATTTTTTAAAAGATTTTAAACAATAACGCAAAGAGGCCTAGCACTGTTAGTATTAGCTTGTAGGATTATTATGATAATCTATACTTTAGTGATCCAGCACGCATTTTGCAAAAGGGCCGATTCGTTCAAATGCACGCCTGTGTCATCTATGACGTATTACAAGTAGTATTGCTGTGTTGAGCCTAACAATGGGCAGCGTTTGATTCTACAGACCAGCGCGCACTTCATTGCGTAAATCTACGTCAATACTAGATTATCATTATAAAAATATGACAAATAACCGGGCGAAAATGACTGGCGCGTTTGTATCTCTACTGGCATTCCACACCCGGACCGCTTGGGCCTCCTCCCCCGAGATATACGTACACACAATTGCACAAGTGCTGGCCCTGGCCGCCCATGCGATCTTGAAACAAACTAAGACACATGTAACGTGCGTTGGTGTGAAAGAAGGCCGTTGAATGGTCGCATAAGATATATAGGCTACGTGAACAATGGTTCACCATGCAGGTGCCATGGATGGTTTCCAGAAATAGAAAAGGTTCTTTGCTGGAGGGAAAATGAGCGAAGCCACGTCGGTTGGGACTGCAAGCAACCTCGTTAAATCCCAGCTTGTTCATTTATATGTTCGTTAAGTCCGATTTATTTTATTGTTTTTAATGAATAACAGGGAATTCCACCTGCTTTCGTTTAATCCGAGTTTCACTGTATATCCAACATGATTGAAACACACTAGACACACCCTCCCTTTCTCTCTCTCTCTCTCC